TACGATCTCCTCACGCAAGGCATTGACCTCATCACGTAACTCCCTTGACTCATCCCGTTGAGGTGGAGGTGGAGAACAGGGAGATAGGAGTCGTGGCATCTTTGCCGGTCGCCTATCATGAGGTGATGGTGGAGAAGAGGCTCGATGATGTGACGGGATAGGTGATGGCTCTCGTTCTAGAGGTGTATAGTCGGGTCGATCGGGTGATGGCTCTAGGTGAGGTGATGGCTCTCGAATTGGAGGAAGTGGATGCTGCTCATCATCCGTGCCATCAAAAAAATTCTGACTAGCTTGCCACCAATCAGTGGCAAGCTCTTCCTCCGTGGGTGTCAGTCTTTGTAATGGAATGTTAGCCTCCTAAATATAAAACTCAAACAAAGTTAAACGTCTACTATTAATAACTTGTTTATATATTATATGAAAGTATTTGTGTTAACTTACATTATTTATTGTGGCATATGGTATTAAGTCTTCCCAATCCAACAGAGTTTTCCTCTTCCAGGAAATAGCCCTGGGAATATCATTTGACGTTTTTATTGCATATGTACGCATGCTGGGGAAAGCCTCGAATATCCAAATCTACAAACAAATATAATAACAAAATTAGTAATTGTTAAATAATTAATTATAATTTTAGAAATTCTTACCTTAAAGGCCCAAACAAAAGCCTGACAAAGTGTATTTGGACCCATCGCCCCGCAAACTTTTGCGGTCATCAAAGGCAGACGACAACTTAGTCCAGGTAGCTTTCCATATATACGAACCCCACGGAAACAGATTCCATGCATTCAGGTCCTCTACCAATATTATTAGCTCCCGATGAATAGGTTGTCTGGCCTCTCTGCCTAAAAAGCCGGCATACACAAGTAGTAGAATGCATACTCGGACAACATCGACGTCATCCATCCGAGTGAAACCAGCTTTCTTATTAAACAATTTCTTCAGGTCGTCGACATGTAGGTTCGGCTTCTCCATTGACTCATCCGGAAAAACCCGGGATAACCATGATGGGCGGGCGATATGACGAGTGTACCGGCCTACATCATCGTGTCCGAATCGTAGACCAGTGATTAAGCAGAACTCCTTCCGCCCAAAACAAGTATACGCTGGTGGAAAATGAAACCATATCTCTTCCTCACCACGTTGTATACTGTCGGGTAGATTTGATGTCATGGTCTGAAGCCACAAATGGGTCAAATTAGCATCTCCACCCGGATGCTGTACTCTCAGCCATGGCCCGAAGCAGGTTTCCTCAAACAATTGTCTTTGAGCAGGTGAAAGCTTCTTTGCAATTGTAGTGGCCAGGCTGACTTTATTTCTCAAGGTCAATTGAGTCGAAAAAAATTTCTACAAAAACAATAACATACCAAGTTAGATATACCAAAAACTACACTGTGAAGATATACCAAAAACATAAACATAAAAAGTAGTAGTTTATTCTTGAAACTAAAATTTGCAACACTGTTTTGTCTTTTGGTTGAAATGAAAATCGCAACGAGAGAATCGCAACGCGAGATGAAAATCGCAACGAGAGATGAAAATCGCAACGAGAGAATCGCAACGCGAAATGAAAATCGCAACGAGAGAATCGCAACGCGAAATGAAAATCGCAATGCGATTTTGGTTTCGCGTTGCGATTCTCTCGTTGCGATTTTCATTTCGCGTTGCGATTCTCTCGTTGCGATTTTCATTTCTCTCGTTGCGACAGTCATTCTCTCGTTGCGATTTTCATTTATCTCGTTGCGACTCTTCTGCAAATTGAAACTTGAATGGATTGCATTACTTCAACCAAAAGACAGAACAAAGACAAAGACAAATACTAACTTGAAAATCGGAACGAGAGAATAGCAACGCGAAATGAAATCGCAACGACAGAATCGTAACGCGAAATGAAATCTAAGTGAAATGGTTAATCTATTATTGAAATGACCAGTAAACTTATCATCAGTTTCAATATGAAAACCTACAATAATGCAAACATTTCAAAATAAAAATAATTAAAAAAACTAACCCTCGGAGGTTGATTTTCCATTTCTGAATATTGTGAGGATTTCTGACCGTGAATGGTTGTGAGGGATTTCGCCGGAGATGGGGACGGAAATCTTCGAGATGGGGACGGATTTCTTCGCCGTAGAGAGTGAGAGATGGAGATGGGAGTGAGTTGTGATTTTAGGTTTTAGGTTATGAGTTGCGATTACGGGATTTTGTCTTAATATTCTTTTTGTAATTTGAAAATAAAATACGCGTAGCGATTATAATGGCGCTTTAAATATCGCGTTGCGATTTACGGATACGCGTTGCGATTTTATGTATTATCGTTGCGATTTACGGATACGCGTTGCGATATACGGATACGCATTGCGATTTACCCATACGCGTTGCGATTTACGGATACACGTTGCGATTTACGGATACGCGTTGCGATTTATGTGTTCGCGTTGCGATTTTCATATTCGCGTTGCGATTTTGGAAAATCGCAATGCGAATTTGTACTATCGCATTGCGATTTTCAAGAATCGCGTTGCGATTTTGGAAACTGATTTGCGATTCTGGGGATCGCGTTGCGATTTTTATTTCGCGTTGCGATTTTGTTGGTCATTTTGGCAAATCCAAAAAAAGTTGGTTAAAATCGTATATTATAACTTTTTTTTGGTCACTGAGGCGATTTTCCATCAACACGCTTCAAGGAACACGAAACTACATGACATAGCTCCTCTTTACTGTCATCTAAGTTGAAAGAACATTCGTTCCCTTTAATCCCATCAACCATTTTCCTCTGTTTATGCTAAGGTTTTCTTAGTCTCCAGTGGCAGATGCTCCAAATGTCCCAGTATGAATACTTCTCCCCCCCCCCATTTTTTTATATATGTTTAACCCCCATAATATCCTTTTTCATGGTTTACCTTTGTTTTAATCCCTTCGCAGAGATGTGTTTTGAAAGTGAATGTTCAGTGCTATGTAGTATGCCCCAATAAATTAAAATCAAAGTTGAAGAAAATCACTGGCATATTTCCTCCATGAAAGAACTTCAACATTATACTTATTTTGAGTCCTAAATCAACTTATTTTTTTTCATTTGATCATGTCACCTATGCGTGGATGATGTCGACATAGATGTCAAACATGGGCTGGTAACGGTTCGAGGCATCGTCCGACCCTCTACACATATTAAAACGGTATCAGAAAAATTAGGCAAAAAAACAGAGCTTCACGCCTACGAGAACCCCAAGACTCAAAACAAGGAAAAGAACCAAACATTTTCTTTTGCTGATAAATCTAATGTCAATGACCAAGGCAAAGACGATCAGGCTGTCCGTAATGAAGTTGACACTATTACTGAATCATCCGACGTCATGAAGAAGAGCACTGTCGAACCATTTGGCGGCCTTGGACGACCAATGTCAGCGAATTATGCATGGCCGCCACCGCTGCCACCAGCGTTTCATCACAGCCATCATATAGATATAGACAGTATCATCAACCGGTTAACCTTACTCGCCACCTTACCGGATAATGAAGCCGCCTCGACCATATCCCTATGATTTTTACGAGGCCAAGGAACCGCCGATTGGCAGCTCTGTTTTTCACTCATTTCGTGATGATAATGTTAATGTTTGCAGCATAATCTAAGCTACAATAAACTTTAATTACGTCATTGATTCATGAGAGTTATCTGTTTCTATGTTTTCTCGGAAGATTATATTTATAACTCCACTTTTTGGGCTGAATAATATTTTACTCCTATAAATTATATCTTATTATTACTATTACGTTAGTATTTGAATTTTTGACACAATATCAAAATTTACCTCGAATGTTTGACTAATAATTATTTGACTCTCATTTTTTTTTTCATAAATTACTTTGGCTCTCAATATTTCATTGTGGACAAAATTCTCCAGGTTGGATGGAAATCATTAATTGCCTAACAGTTAACACTTGTCGTTGACGTGACAAAATCTTATGCATCATTCTATTTTGATCATTTCATTAATGTGACAAATAACTTCACTATCTAAAAAATAATATATTTTTGTCAATAATCTTTAGAGTACGTAGTTAAAAACTCTCAATTGACATTTTTTCTCTCACTTAAGTTTTGGATCGATGCCCATTACGAGCAAAATTTTCCTTCCCCTCCTTCTAGATAGGAATTGTTCAAATAATAATAATATAATTCTTAACCATTGACAACGCACATACACTCTAGAGGCACATCTGCTTAAACCCATGATCTCAAGGGAGAATAATATTTCCTTTTAACTATTGAGATCATTTAATGGTTCATTCATATAATCGAATTAATAAAATCTAACATGCTTTTAGTTTCATATACTTGTAAACCATCACTATATATGCCATACACTCTCATCTCATACATATACACATGTTAAACATAGTTATGTAACATTATAAGTCATTCGAATAAATTGTACACATGTCTAATATATTTTAAATAATTCGAGGGGATATTCGTATTCCTTAACATATTGTATAATAAGCTAGAATATAAAACACATCCACCTTGTTTACAAAATTTTAAATTCATATTTTTTAATTTTATGTTTAATGAATATTAAAAAACTAAAAATATAAAAGTTATATTTAATAAATTCATATTATTCACATATATGTATGTCTCAAACACAAGTTATATTAAAAAATTAATAAAATTAAAAAAATTAAAAAAATAACTACTGAAAATATATACATATTTATCAATCTAAGGTGCTTATAAGTGATGGTTTTTGTTTTAAAGACACTCTACCATATAAAAATGAACACTCAAATACTTTATAGATGTTGGTGCTTGAACTTGAGACGAATATCAACCCCAACTACTAAAATCGTCTTATTCGTGCACTATTAAAATTATAAAATGTTAATAATATTTAATACAAAAATTATCCAAATCTAGCAAATACATATGCTACGATCTACAAGACTTCAACCTATATTAAAAGGTCGAAAGCCTAACAAGAGGCATCGCCGTTTTTATGTTATTTTTCTCTGTCTACCTCCTTCAAAAGGCCATCGTAGTTCCTTTTATCAAAAAGGTCCAAAACCTTCAAACCCCACGTTTTTATATACCGGGAAATTTCTCGTCTTTTTATTATTTTTTATCTCCGGTGCTGATTCCGATGGCCTCCGACACCGATCCTCAGAAACCACAAACCCATAGGTTCCGTTTATCTATTTACATCTTAAAGCTCTTTGTTTTTTTCTTCCCTGATTGCTGCTTATATTTATGAGATATGTTTGGATGCTTAGAAAATATGAGGAAGAAAATGTATCTTTGGTTCGCTTCGCTTTTAGTGGATTTTTACTTGTGGGTACTAAAGAAAGTAACACATTACTTGGTTCCTTTTTGTTCTCGTAATTTTCTGGGAGTCACTTGTTTTTCTTTATTTCTGGGTTTTTTTATGTTAATTGCTTAATGCTGCTTTTTCAGCTACACTGTTGAAATTTTTTAACTTTTCTTCCACTAACCCCATACTTTGTTGTTTCTTGTATTTATTGACACCGAGTTTAAGAATACATAGTGAATCAGCAAGTAGAGTTAAATTTATTGAAGTATGATACTGTAATTTGATTCTTCAGTAGCCTTTTGTTCTTGCAATACTCTGAAAGATTTTCTCTTTATTTAGATCTTTAAGATGATATTGTCTTTGTTCTGTGACGATGATGCGTTGGGCGTGCTTATAACGCACTTATGCTACTATCGATCAGTTGGAGTGATAATTTTTTCTCATGTTTTAGTACATGAGGCAGTAATGAACTACCTTAACTAGTTAATTTTTAACCGCTCACATGGCTTAATTTGAATAAAGATAAGGAATATATATCACCTATTTTGAATAGGTATTAGTTTTTACACGAGTTTTTACTCATCTTTGTATCTTCAAGTTTAGTGTTATACTAATCCTTCTCTGTATTAGACAAACTATTTTGAAATTCATGTAATAGTTAAGATTTTTTATTATGGTATTAGTTATGTACCAAATGTGTCATTTAAGTAAACTATTCATTGTTCATTATTTTCTCTTACAGGCACAAATGCCCTGCATGCTATAAAAAATTTAATAGAAAGCTTCATCTTATAGAGCACATGAAGATCTCGTACCATTCGGTTCATCAACCTAGATGTTGGGTGTGTCAAAAGCACTGCAAATCTTTTGAATCAGTGCGAGAACATATAAATAGTAAGATAATCTGCATGTTTGTTCTCAATTTTCAATTTTTTATTGTGCCAGTTTCTCATCTTTTTCTTTCTATGTAGATCCATTATCGAAAACAAAATGTTCAAAGTTTTTTGCAGAACGAGGTTGCACTCATTGTTTAAGAGTTTTGGATAGCTCCTCTTACCTTGATGAACATAAGAAAATGTGCCGCATAATAGCTCCTGTTCCCCTTGTAAGTAAGCTTTGTGAAAGTATCAAAATGTTCATATATAGAACCTTGTCACTAATAGAGCTTTACTCCACTTCACCTTTTTAATTGTCTGTAACATTTTTGTACCTTGGATGCCTCATTTGTAAGTTCTATCAAATAAATCATGAAAACAAGGAAAAAGAAGTATATTTTGGCTGAGGTTGAGACTAGATAATTGGTTAACTTATGTATAGGGACTTTCAAAACACGTTCACATTACATTATAACTTGTTTTGAGTTATAACTTGATCTAATCTAAATATTATGTTGTTGTTGCAGGGAACAAAGATCACACCTTGTATGGAATCTAATGCAGGTTCAATCATGGATGAAACGCAAAATGGTAAAGTTCAAAGAGTCATTGCTATGGATTGTGAAATGGTAGGTGGTGGAAGTGATGGATCAATTGACCTTTGTTCTAGGGTGTGTCTTGTTGATGAAGATGAGAATATAATTTTGCATACGTATGTTCAACCCCAAATTCCTGTCACTAATTACAGGTATTCATTTTCTCCATTTTGATTAAAAAAAGTCATTTTAAAGAGGAACGGACTGCGTATCATGCCTTTATTCATATGTTCAGATATGAAGTAACTGGGCTAACAGAAGACCATCTGAAAGATGCCATGCCACTTAATGAAGTGCAAGATAAAATCACGAAAATACTATACAATGGAAAGTCTGTTGGAAGTATACCCCCTGATGGAGGGATGGCTAGGCTTCTCGTGGGTCATGGTATACGGCATGATTTGGACTGCTTGAGGATGAAATATCCTGGCCATATGCAGAGGTAGGTTGAACTTTTTCAAAGGCCATCAATGAAGCGAGTGCATAAATATTCCTTTTGACAAATGAATCTATTGAAAATGGCGCCATTAATTTTTAAAGAAACCCTTTGTGCTGCATTTCTTGTATTTCCTTGCTCTGCAATTGGCGTAACCTAGTTCACTTCTAGGTGAAATATGTATTGATATTAAACATATAACTGATTAATGGCAAGCGGCAACACAGAGTACAATAGGGGCCATTAGATATCATTTACAAATTAACTCACTCTGTTCTTGCATCTTATTAAACCCTATACTTTTTTATTTAATTTTATTTTGTATAGAAATGTCTTCCATTAAACTGGCTTTTTTCTATTGTGCAGGGACACTGCAAAATACCATCCATTGATGAAAACGAATCTTGTTAGCCACTCACTGAAGCACCTTACCAAAACATATCTAGGGCAAGTTGCTATTTCAGGATCTACATTATAATTTTAGATCAAATAAATTTGCTATCGCTGCTCCTCTCCCTATATTCTCCTTTTCTTTTTACCCCCTTTCTTCACTAGCATCATGGTGTATTGTTTAACAGGTATGATATCCAGTCAGGAATTCATGACCCATACGAAGATTCTATCTCTATGATGAGACTGTACAAGCGAATGCGTGACCAAGACCATGAGCAGGTTGTCAGACTTGGTGATGGAAAAGCTAAATGTGGCTTTGATTCTTTTCGATCAACAGAACTGGATAAGAAGACCCCGGATGAACTATATGAGATCTCTGTATCTGATTACAAGTGTTGGTGTCTGGACTTGAGCAAAGATTGCAACCGTGGCAGTTGACTGTCCTATTTTCTTTTCACAGCTGCAATTTCTGCATCTGGCAATGCATGTTTCCAGTTTATTTATGTTTAGTCTTCTGGGGTGGGTTGTTGGGGCAAGGTTAGATATACAACTTTAGAGTTGGTCACTAGGGAAAACAAAAAGAATGTTTGATTGGCTTTGTCCAATTTGTATGAAAGTAGAAATGTTTTCCCGTTGAATCAACTATTCTTGCTACCAAGTCTAGGAGCATGAAATTAAGAGGGAAAAAAAAAAGAATTTTACATTTATGTTCAAAATTGAAATCGGCCCAACGGTTATAGCATGAGTTCTAGTGGGGTAATTGACAGAAACCAATCTTTTATCATTTATGTAAATATGATTTTAAAGATTGTTCTTCATGCGTATCAAGCAATTGAAAATCCAAAAGCAATTCATCCGTTTATGCAGCTGAAGTTTATATATATAGAGAGAGAGAAACAGTTACTTTATAATTTATTGAAAAGTGGATGCTCAGCATGCTTACCTTGAAAGCCATCCATGTTTTTTCATACTTCAATCTGTTGCCATTACAAAATTATTCCACAAATGTAATGATACAGAAAGAAGGTTGTGCGTATGGAATTTACTGGTCTAAAAAGGTTTTCAGTGCAGAAAATGGAGGGGGAAATTGGATTACATTAATTGTCGTCATTACACGCTTCAAACAAAGTGCAGCTGCGTGACTTCATTTCATAAGCAACTAACCTCACCATTTGCTCACGAACAACTTTACCATCAACTGAGAAAAAACCCGGGTACGGTAATGCCGTATCAACTAATTGACGCCATGCCATCCCTTCAGGAGGTGGGGGTAGAATTATGGTCTCTGTTTTATCAGCTCCATTAATGGCAATAAACAGGTCGCCCTTTAGTTCAGAAGCCTCAGAGTTCAGCTGGTCCTCTGCTTTATCAACCTTCAATGTCATTGCCAGGAATTTGCATGTGGGGTCTTCCCATCCTGGTGGTGACTGATTGCTTCCATGCCATTCAATGTTTTCTTCTTTCAGAAAGTTCCGTTTTTGGAGAAGGTCGCTTCGCCTCATTCTAATCGAGCTCAAAAACGAGATGAACTTTGTAGTTTGAATACCAAAACCTGTTGTCATAGCATCCCAACCTAAATGTTTTATGCTGCCATACGATGGGGAACCACCGGAAGATTGGCCACATTCATCTCCCATATTAAGAACAGGAACGCCCTGTGAAATATACAAAATGAAGACAAAATTACGAATTTGCTTGAGTCTTCTTTCGAGCACAGCAGTTTTACTTGTAGGTCCCTCTTCCCCACAGTTCCAACTTATTTCTGAAGCCAACTTGGCATTACTAAAGCTGACCAAGTCCACAAGAGGAAGTCCAAAATTCTTGGCGATGAAATTGAACGAAAATGCTGGGCCTCGGCCATCAGAGAATATGTCCCCACTCCCACAAAGCCGTGTAGCAAGACTACTCAGAGCACCCTTACCCCTCAAAAAGTTTCGTACGTCAGTACAAAATTTTGTATTCATTTCTGCTCATCTATTCCAATGAGGAAAACGCACTTCCTTTGGCATCATGTCATATGGATCCCAGCAATCTGCAATGATTTTAGCCATGGACAGCACCGGATCAAAAAACCCTCTCAGCAGACATGAAGCATTAATGAAACAGAAACCATCAATGTGGAATTCAGTCACCCAATGCCGTAGACTATCTAAAATCAACTGTTGAACAACGGGATGGTTACAATTCAAAGCATTTCTAGCTTCTGAATCTTCAATACCAGTCTTGTGATAATAGGATAAATTGTCAAGTCCTTGCAGTGCTCCACCCTCTGCAGTATGGGTAAAAACCACTTCCAGGAAGACCTCGATACCATTTGCATGCAAGTTCTTAACCATCCCCTTCATTGAGTTGATAGCAGATACAGAACCATTAGAAGGCCCATACAGGTTTGTTGGTGAAAAGAAATGACATGGGAAATATGGTCCCTTTTGCTCATCAAATGTACAAATTGGCTCTAATAAGACAGCATTGATGCCAAGATCTTTGAAGTGCTGTACCTTCTCAGTTACGCCTGTGAAAGTCCCTCCAACATCAGCAGGTAGCTTACTAGACTTGTCTTCAGTAAACCGCATAACATTCAAACGATATACCACTAATTTTTCCAAAGCTATGTTTGGAAAAACATCACCAGTCCAGTCAAAAGCAGGCTCCTTCATTAGTCGCCCAAGATGTTTCAGGAGCAAACCGGACTCATGATGATTAGGAATGGAACTCCCGATTATCTTAGCATAAGGATCCAAAAGTACACGCTCTGAATGGAATGTGTCTCTGTTTCCCTTGCACCAATAACCATAGCTCACAAAGGTCCATGCACCTTCTATCGAAGCATGCCAAATGTCACCGGTTTTATTAACAATGGGATCAAGATCAAGCTCTAAAGCAGGTTTTTCTGATGCATTATCATCATACAAGCACAGGACCAAACTTTCGGCGTTTCTTGAATAGACTGCAAAGTTCATAGAACCATCAGTTGAAAAGGAAAGACCCAATGGAGCTGGATACCCTTGATTAAAACCAATTGGTACACAAAAACTAGACTTCCTCTGACTCATGATTTCTGAGCCAATTGAATTTGCACTTGATGAGGCTTTCATAAGGAATGAGAAGTAGCACGGGGCTTCTTTAGCTTCAAATTCCAACTCAAGTGCTAACTCACTGGAAGAACTCGCTATAAATGGGGTTTCAATGATTATGCTTTTCATATCAAGATCGGATCTGTATAAACCCCCACTTAGCACCAGCTGACTGTCATCACTGGACAACTGCAGCGATGAAACTTCAATATCTACTACATAATTGACACTTTTCTTTCCAACATAAACTTTGACCTGACCACCAATTTCAGTACTAAAAAGAAAAGTCGATAGATTTTTCAGTTCACCAACTTGGCTAGTTTTACTGAATGATTGTTCAGTTTGCTCAACAGAAACTCGTGATGCAGCAAAGCACCTCAAACCAAGGCCCCGAGGAGGAGGCCTGTCATTTTGTACAATTTCTCCGGGTAAAAATTTTATTCCTTCATCTATTCTCTGAAGGCTCTGCCCCATTTTGTTTTTACAAAAATAACCGGTCACAACCGAGAATTTAGAAAATTCAGTGGCTCCAGGGTTCAGACCATGGGGACCTATTGTAAGGAACGAACAAAAAGTAGCCATATATGCTTGCAGTAGAAAATGATTCTGAAGCAGATAGCGAACAAAATCTTTACAAGGAGGACAATTTCCCTTCCTGAATTAGAGATGACTTTCTGCTCGAAATAAAGAAAGGGTTAGCTCACTCAATCGTAAACTAAAACAAAATAACTATTTTGGCTGATTTTAGACACCAAGACCTTAAAAAGATTCAGACCCAGAAATCTGATACAGCAGAGATGAACACTCGAGATCACCAAAGAGACGAACAGTGATCGTTAAAGCTAAGTGTAAATGGACTGAGAATTGAGAGAAAGAAGCATTTCTGAACTCTGATATTTCCCATTTATTGCATAATTGTTTATATACAAACCTATTACAGTTATTAACAACTGCTAACAACGAATTTCTAACAAATTCATAACAGAAACAGTTGCCCCGCACCTTCCTTGTATCAAAAGCAATCAAATCCATGTTAACGAATGCGATTGTAGAACATCAAGCACTACCATAGAGAGTGCAGAAAAGAAATGAAAGATTTTCATACGTGAAAAACAAAAGTAAAAGAAACCCAGACAAATTGCAGCGTAAGGAAATTTGGAAACTTAAATATAAACTGTTCATAACGAAAATCTAGATAATACCCAGTTCTTAAAAGAAGCATATAGAGCCAGCAATGATCCCACATAATCAAGAAATCAAGAAATTAAAAAAAGGCAAAAGAGAAGCAGACAAAGAGTAAAATGACAGTAAAACTTACAGCATTCGGATTCTAAAAGCTGAAAAGTCGAGTGAGATGAGAGAGAGAGCCCAGAATGAGAAGAAAAAACGAGAGATGGGTGTAGTAAGTGTAATCAGTGCAGATTTGTCGTTGCTTGGAATTTAGAGCTTTCGTAACGACCGCACAACCGCATTCATTTATGATCTACCCCCCTTTTCTTTTTTATTATACTTGAAACCGGCGATGTGTGACTTAAACGGTGCGTTTTCGTTCCAACGAAACAAATATATTGTCTATTTTGTTTTGACTTGTGGGAGAAGGGAATATTTCTCCTCTTTTTTAGTAATGATTGATTATAAAGAAATGTACCAACGGCCCATAATAACCTAAATGATTTCCATCTTTATAAATATTTAAATTATTTAACAAAACATGGGATTATTATAGTATATCTAGAATCGTTAGAAATAGTCAATGATTATGAAAAAATCGTTGATAACTGTGATCGATTTTAGATGACCTAAATAATTTCTTTTAAGTACCACTTTTCTGATCAAGTCTTTCCTTTTGAATGTTAAAGCAAGAGAGTTTATGACAGCGTCATAGATTCATTCTGAATCAACTTTGTGAACATTGTATAAGCAATTTGTTTCAATCATCTTTGTGAGTACATTTCAACAACTCAGTACAAAAATCTCGTTGCATACTTATATCTCAAAGAACATAATGACGAAATGCTAATACTGAACAATGATGCTGGTTTCTTCTATATCTAACTACTGTTAGTAGAACTGGATTCTGCACAGTCTACCCATCCTTGTCGTCATGACAAGCGTGTTGCTCTCTTCATCCGAAACCAACTGTGGGCTCTCGAAGTAGTCTCTTCCCTTGAAAACTGGATGTATATAAGCATCCTTAAGGTAGTCTTTCAAGTTTAAGTTCGGCTCAGTCGCCCGTTCGAGGGTATCTTTGATCATTGCATCCTGTGTTTTAATACAAAAAAGAAGTGTCATCCAGATAAAGATCAAGAAACATGATATATTTTTCCTTTAAAAGTATCAAGGGCATATAACGTATGTGAAGAGTATGGTTGTGCTAGGTGCTGCTAGATGGGTTGTTTCATCCCTCACCTGCAACGGGAACCTTACGAATGCAGTTTCAAAACGGCCCTTGCAGTATACATGAAACCAAATTGTCATAATAGGAAGAGGAATCAGTGCAATTGTTGATAACTCAATGTTCTTTGTGCTCGACAACCCATTAGAAGAAGTTGAGTTATTAATAAACCAATGATCAGACGTTGATGCACATCTAGCCAGAATGAGCCTCCACTCTCATATTTTTTATCATACACGTTGATAACCTTGCAGCATGAAACAACATTGCAAATCAAGAACAGGTGAGGATTATACCAAGATAGGGAAGCTTCATACAGCTTAGAGAAGCAAATACCTGGTGACGAAATACCACATAGGCAAAAGCAAAGAAGATGAT